TTTTTATTTCATGTTTTTAGCGACTAAACCGAGTGGAACTCCATCTAAGTTATAATAAGATTAACAGTTGAACCTACTCAAATATTTCAACATAATTTGGACAACCTCTAACACATTTATACCTGATAAAACACACTCAGAAGAACGTGAAGTGTTTCGATTGTGTTATGCAAATGTATACTGTGTGACCTATTCCCGTGATGCAATGCGTGAAATACTGAGAAAACGTTCCAAAGACACAGTAAGCAAATAACACCGAATAAACGGCAAGGTAAATACTACGTCAAATTCAATCTCCTTCCCATAGGCGTTTGCGCTTTACGCAATAGTGCCTCTGCCACAGGCAGCCTTCAATTTTGTGGTCAATCACCTTACTACGCACGGCCATTTTCTTGTACCTGTTACATCTGAAAACGTACTACAAAAAGTGGAAAAAAACGTATGTGACATCCGAACTATTTATTAATGTCAGACCTCAGTAAAAACGTAAATACGAACCATTTTATCGCGGACTATGTTGTGCAAGGTAATGTTACTGTAGTGAAATGAAATGGCGCACGTGATACACTAAAACTTGGAAGAAAAAACTTTCTGTTATCGTATATAGTTGGGAAAGAAACATTAAAGACTAATTTCACTGAAACGAGTTTCCTAACATTTCCGTTCATCTTGTATTCTTGTTAATATTTTAATACTATTTCTGGCTTGAACGGGTTCGATTTTGCGCGTCTAACAGCAATAGAACACAAAGGTTCTAGTAAGTTTATAAAGTTATCCATTTATTGTAGAAACTAATGCTTTGCCATGTAGAAAAGGATTGCAGTCATGTATATTTTAATTTAATTAACAGAACATTTTATTTGGAGTCGGGCGTGAAACGACTTATTAAAGTGATTAAAGTAACCAAGTGACTTACGCATAACTTTGTTAACCGACAGGGTCTTGTAGTTCGAACATAATATGCAAATGAGTTCTATGCAAAGCTGCTTTGTGCAGTGAACTTAGACTGGCGCAGTCGGGCGATTAATTTGTTTTTGTAGTTTAAATAAAATTAAATAAATTGCGAAATGTAGGTGTTAGCGCAAAATCCCTTGTAACTGCGAAATCACCCCGACGGCACCAAATCGCCTTGCTTCACGCCACTACACGTCTTCCCCTCGGCCACCGGGCATCCCAAAAAAGGATGCTTAATAACCGAGCTTATTACGCGCAGAGAACATGAAACCCGTCCACGCGATCCGCGCCACACAGCGTGGCCGTTTATTCGGTGTTATTTGCTTACTTTACTGCCTATGTCAACACGTTGTGTCGTCACCGGAAGCGCTGTCCCAGCACAGACCTGTGCGTTGTGTGGTCACCGGAAGCGCTGTCCCAGCACAAACGTAGAAGACGCCGACCTCAATGATGTCAACAGCAACTATGAGTTCCAAAGACACGCTCGTTTTGCATTGGAGCACTGAGAATTTGCATACATTTTCAGAATGCTGCGATATTCAATTACCCGATACATTAAATAAACAACGCGTTTTGTAGCTCACCATGTAGTATGACAAGGTCGGAATTCTTTTTTTTGTTTTATCTGAGAGGGCGCTTAGCACGTGTAACGCGTTCTAGAATTCTTAGTTTATTATTATCCCATTGACGCCGCAGTTCTGCGTCTTCTACACCGATCTGACGCATATCGCGCTAGGTGTGCCGGGAGTTTGTTCGAAATTTCGAACGTTTCGAAGTCAGTTGTCGATTGCCACGTATTTTACGGATATATTAAATCGTTTCAGAGAGGTCTGTTTACTAAATAATGATAAATGAAACTTAGAAAGCTTGTAAGAACAAACTGGGCCCAAATCGCGCAAATTGCAATAAGTTTACTGGTTCGGATGGAGTTCTACGCGTGATTTTATTGCGCTCAAGGACGTTCTATTTTCGAACTAGTTGAAACCGGAAATAACGCAACTACTTTCGAACTTCAAACACAAATTTGATTATCGTTATTATGTGTTAGTTTCTGTTGTTTCAAAGATTGAATTATGTATGACAATAATATTTCACTCTATAAACAATATTTCACTCAAATATGTGATTCAAAGGCAACCCAAATTGTAAAAAGCAATATCAAGTTCCGCGTATAAACACTGTTGTAAAGAGGCGGCGGAGCGGAATTTTAGCCAAAATCGGCTAGTAAGGCGTCACATGACACAGGTTTGTGCTGGGACAGCGCTTCCGGTGACGACACAACGGTTATTAGCCCTTATCCTCCGGGGCGGAGCTACGTCACGGACGTTCTACGTTGCTAAGACGCGCACCACTGTACCACGTATTTCTATGGGCTTTGTGCGCGCTGCTGTGGAACGCCGGTGGAGCCGGTGAAAACTCGAGAAAACAACACAAACTCAACTTTGAAGTAATCCTGAACAACCAAATTCATATATGTTACACACGTAGGGCTAATCTTGTGTGTTCAGTGTGTTCAGGGGACTCTCATCAACCATCGCAAAGTACCGTTTTCTGCGAGTTTTTGGTCTTTGTTTTCACCGTGAGGGTTGCCAGGCGGTAGAAAATGCCCGGATGTCCGCCCCGAGAATATCCGACAGTTTATCTGGTCTAAGCTTATCATGCGTAATTTATTTTCGCAACGTGCAAAGTGGATTTAGACACAAACTTGGCCACCTAGCATCTGCGTCTGACATGCGCTAAATGTTGTAGTGAGATCGCAGCTTGTACCGTTTGTTCCATCCCGGGAGTTCCATCGTTCCATTCCATTCAAAATGATCACATTTGCTTTACGGCAATCGATATTTGCTGGGTGAATATATACTAGTATGTTAGAACTACCACTTCAAATGATAGGCATTTCCTGAAATTAGGCAATACCTTGCAATGGAGTACGCGCATGATGGTCGCCACAACGTTGGTGTAGGGGCTACAGGAACAACAGCTGTTGGAATGTTATTGGGTTGTATTGGGATAATGCCCCTCCCACCCGGAATTGTCTTGTTTGTCGTTGGAATGAGTGATGATAGCGGAATACGTGTAGCAGGAATCGTATTACTCGCTATTTCTGGAATATTCATCATTACTGGTATCGTCGTCTCCCGAATCGGTAAAAAATCGCCGACCACAACCACTGTGACACAACAGGTAACAACTGCCAATGTAGTAATTGAGGATGGAGGAGAGACAAGACACGTGTATAGACCGGTGCACGTAACTGCTCCACCATTTGGCCAATTAACCGGGCAGCCGGCGATAACGGGTCAATATCCAGTGCCAATGAATCCATCACATCAACAACTGTTTTGTCAACCACCACAAGGTTACCCGCAACAGGAGTACCCGCCACCATCACCACAGGGTTACCCGCAACAGGAGTACCCTCCACCATCACCACAAGGTTACCCGCAACATGAGTACTCTCCACCATCACCACAAGGTTACCCGCAACAGGAGTATCCGCCACCATCACCACAAGGTTACCCCCAACAGGAGTTCCCACCACCGCCACCACAAGGTTACCCCCAACAGGAGTTCCCACCACCACCACCACAGGCTTACCCGCAACAGGAGTTCCAACCACCACCACCACCACCGCCACAAAGTTATCCGCAACAGGAGTTCCCACAACAACCACCGGGTTACTTGCAATAGTATCCATGAGTACCCATGCACCACAGGGTTACCCGATGGACAATACTGTACATTCATCGCCATCAGTTAAAGCGGGGGAGTCGTCACCTACGCATGCGTCAGGTGGCTATAGCGTGTCATTGTTTACAAACAAGCGTTTACCCATGAGCCTTTGTGTTTTTAGCGCGTGTTGTTATCGTCGATTGGGACTCAATTCCCGCGCGTGCGCAGGTGACGACCCTCCCGCTTTAAGAGTGTATGCCATTCAGTGACGTGAGATCTCACATCGGCAAACTTTTCTACAGTGAAATCTTTCTGTAAAATATAATCGTGAAAAAATGATTTCCGTCTGCAGTTGCTCGCTCGTGAACCCGGACGTTTTGTCGATCCCCAAACACAATCTGCGTACGGCGCTAATCAGCGTCTGTATTTATTGTTTTTGATTATGATGATTAGAAAAAATTGACATACATCCAGAAACTAATTAAATAAACTTCGCCACGCCGAAAAAAACGCGGGACGGTGTGGATTAGCTCCACCCACCGATCGATGTAATGTATATAATCGCTGTATGCTAGTTCCAAGATCCATTTTTTTTATTTTACCAGGGTTACAAGTAGAAGGTATCGGTGCTAATAAGTTATTTCCATGTCTCAGAATTACATTTGAAATGAAGTTGGTATAATAAAATGGCAATAAACCGCTACCGAAGTCGGGTACGTATACCACGATATTTTGCACAATCCACTCCATGAACACACTCACTCGTATGTATATGTCGTGGATTGTGCAAATCTCGTGGTATAAACGCCTTTGGCGGTGGTATATTTTGTAATATTGTCATTTGAGACTACATATTAATTATATTTTTTATAGTGTTTCATCGAACGAATACAATGTTTGTATTATTTATTACGCCATTAAACTCGCCGTTATCAATTGTTTAGTCCACAGTATAATAAACAGCAACATACCATTTTCCGTTCACCTCGAGATCTCGCATATTGCGTGAAAAGCGCGGACCGCACGTTTGTCACGAAGATCGAACGATTTGATTTTGAATGTATGTTTCTTTTCATAGCTCAATGTCGTAATGGCGATCCTTGCGAAGGGAATATTGAGATACCCTTACTTCATCGCAATTAACCATCATCAAATGTGTACGAGTATAGCACATTATTAAGCGTGGGAATACCCAACAATATTTTCGCGTTTGTCGAATCCCACGCGATGTTCGGAAACCACTACGACGCCATGACCTTTGCTTGTCCTGTTTTTTCGTTCGATTTCATGCATAACGCGGAATCTCAAGGTCAACGGAAAATGGTCTATTTGATTTTGATGTAACATTGTCAGCAAGCCGAGAAAGTGTATTCAATATACGGTGAATTCAGTCCAGAGGCAAATAAACAGCAAATACAACATCGTATTTCTCAATTCTCAGTGTGTTGTTAACACACTTCGAATGAGTTTACTAGTTGCTGACGTGGTCGAAGCACCGCGTCTGGAAACTCGCTAATGGTTTATTGACAGTCATGAATACATTGCCAAGAATTGTATGTATTGCATCATTCTGTACATATCAATGCACCGTTGTCACAGAAATTGCTTTTTATGTTACATATATGAAAAAGTTATCACAATCGTCGCATATCATAATTATAAGTCGTATATACCCTTGTATCCATTTCATGGAATGTGAAAAAACATGCAAGTATTATGTTGAATTTTTGGTACGTACCATTTAATCAAAGTACACGCGCAATTCATTATATCGTGAAACCAAGAGTATGGTTCAGGATAAATTACAATGCATGAACACATGACATGATATTGAACGAAGGTACTGATAAAAAAAAAACTAAAATTCATTCATAATGGCGCATAAATTGATATTATACTTAAGGTAGAAGCCCAACTCATAAATGCAAACACACAGACTTTATTCATTTTTACAACAAATTGCATTCCTGGGATATAATTATATTGATTTGAAAAAAAGTTAGGGATCATCAACCTAATTTTCTAGAAAATGATGGTTGCATTTTAGTGGGTAGTGGCCATTTTGTCAGTTTAATAATGCTTTCGCCATTGGTTCCTATAACAGAGATATTATTATACCCTGTCTTAAATTGTAGGTGACATAGGCTGAACAAATTATATACTATGAATGTTGGATTGCTTTTTGTTGTCCTGAATTATTTACAACTTTGGGTATTAAAAAAGTGTAAAAAATGCATTCTTTAACATTGCGTTCTATGGAGTTGTTCTAAAAATAGGGATTTTTGAAAAATATTTAGACAAGTTTCTAAAAAACGCCATGCGACACACAAAAGAATGTTATTTCATGGTGCCATTGTCATGCGATTTATGATCAACTTTCGCAATAATTATGAGTTATAAGTAGACTTCTATCTTGAGTGCAAATTAACATTCTAATTCATTCTAATAGTTATGTCATATTAACATATAGAAGTCAATTATCTTAAAATAAAATGAAACTTGATTCGTCGGCATGGTACACCGTTTAACCAATCAACGACGGAGAGAACAGACATGCTAGCTGCGATATGATATTTTCTGTCCTGGGACAAATCCTGCAAATACGTCATCTACCGTTGATCTAGGCGAGTGTAAAGAA